ATAACTTTAACAAGTCAAAAGAAATTTCCAAAACTTTTGAAAAAAAATGTAAAAATTAAATAATTGATGAAAATTAAATGATTAGTGAATATCAAATGAATAATGATACGAAACTTTCAACTCTTGATGAAATATGAATAAGATTAAAAAAATAATAAATAAAAAAAAAAATAAAACAAACTGTAACCTTTTGAAATAAAAGAAAATTTAAAAAAGATGACAGTAATGATGATAACAATTATGGTGATGATAATAATAATAATGATAATGAAAATGATGATGATCTATAAATAATATAAAATAATTAATAAAAAAAATAATTGATAATATAAATGAAAATAAATATAACGTAAATAAAACATAAATTTGTAAAACTAAATGAACAAAATAAATTATTAACATGTTTTTTATTCAACAATTTTTTTAGTACTAAATAGATCTTTATCTATCTAAAAATTTGTTAAAAATTATAATTTCAAAGAATTAAAAATAAAATTTCAATATCATTTCTCATTAAATATCCTATGAATTTTTCAAATAATTTTCAAATATATTTGGATATTTGAGAATCAAAAAAATTCAATATATAAATATATTCATATAAATTTATAAATTTATTCAAATTTTTTCTAAACTAAAAAATATCTGAATATATTTGTTCCCAAAAATTTCCTAATTGATAAATATATCTGGACATATTTGAAGATCGAAAAAATCTAAATATATATAAATATATTCATATAAATTTATAAATTTATTTAGATTTTTTCTAAATTAAAAAATATTTAAATATATTTGTTTCAGATATTTGAGAATCGAAAAAATCTGAATATATATAAATATAATTTATAAATTTACAAATTTATTTGGATTTTTTCTAAATCAAAAAATATTCAGATATATTTGTTCTCAAAAATTTTCTGATGACGTGACAAAATTATAATATATTACTTCACTCCTTATCTTAATTAAATAACTATTTAAAAATTATGATATATGTTTTTTATAAATTTACTTAGTTGTACATAAGAAGTAGATTTCGGTAATTTATTTACTATATTTTCTAATTTAGAAAAAATTAATCTTCAAAATAATACTATTTCAATTTAACAGTAAAAAAATTATATAATAATTTAATATGTTGCATTATGTTCAAATAACTTTGTATTTAAATTTAACATGTCTTTTTTTGAACTAATTTTTTCCAGTAAAGATATAATCTATGAAAAAAAACTTGAAGAAAAACTTAAGAAAAAAATTATGAATAAATTTAAAAAAGTATATATATAATTTATATTTTATTACAAGAAAATACATTAATAATAATATTATTATTATTTAGTCAAATAATTCTACTTTTGAAAATGAGGAAGTATATATTATTAAAAATTTTTTTGTTGAAACTATATTATATTCTCTCATTCCCTTTGAATATTTACTTACAAGTAAAAATGAAATTGCTATTGTTTTTATATTGAAATATGACAAAATGCAGATGCTATATTCAGTAATATAAATATTATTTTATTATTTTAATATTTAAAATAATTATTATTTTTACTAATTTTTTTTTAAAAATCTAAAATTCCATGGGAAAATTATATAGATAACATAATATCACATATTCTTACTTGAAAAATATTTTTGTATATAAAAGAGATAGAACTTGTCAAAATTTTAAAATATGTGAATTTGTCAATTTAGAATTATTAGAAATAAAACAGAAACAATAAATCTTGATTTAGATTTATGTTTAAAAATAAGTGATAAATTATTTGCAGATAATAACAAAAACAATATTTGTGCATAAGTATTTTACATTATAATTTTTATTAATAAAATAAAATAAGTTAAAATAAATATTTTATAATTTTATTTTGAACATATAATAATTAAAATTGAATATAGATATAAAAATAATAAATAAAGATCTAATAAAAAATATCATTGATTTATTAATATTCAAGAAAATATTGATTTAAATTTGTTTCATCAATTATTAGATAGAATTTAAGAGATAAATATTGTATATTAATATTAATTAAGTTTTTTTATAATTTTTATTAAAATTATTTAAATATAAATTCAAGGTGAATTAGATGAACTAGTCAATAATTATTATATTATATTATATAACAGTTCAAAAAAATTATATTGTTATAAATCTAAATAAAAAAAATTATTTTTATTAATTATTTATATTATTTATTAATATTTTCTTATAAATATTTTATTAGTACATCTACATTGTTCAAAAAATATTATTAAACAAAGATCAATTAATCAAAAATTTTGTAATGTCAAATTTTCCAAATTAATTTTTTTTAATATTAAGAAATGTTCATATATAATTTTAATTTTTAAAGAAATACTCTCTTATCTATCTTCTCTATCTAATTGAGTTCCAATTATAATTTGTGATCATTTACAAGAATTAATTTATCAAGTTAATAATAATATTGAAGATATCACTCTAACATATATTATTTCGGATAAATTTAAAATATAATTTTTTATTTATTTAAATATTAAGTAATTTTTAAATTAATAATTTATTATTATATCTAAAAAATTTAATTAAAATATATTTTGATATTAAATATCTAGCAGAAGTTCATTCTTCATTAAATAATACTGATCGATTAAGATATCATATAAATAAAATAACAAAAAAAAATTAATTCACAAGGAACTGGTCTTCTTAAAGTTGTATACAATTATTCTAAAAATATAAACAATTTTTGTAAATATGTAAAATGCTTGGGTAAATATTATTTAATTTTAAAATATTTATATTTAAAATTTTATTAAATTTTTTTTTATTTTTATAGAATTTTTTGAAAATAATCATATAATGATTATTTGTATTACCCTTGAACAATTAAAAAAATAGATCAAATGTAATTACTTTGAAATAGACCTTTTATTTAAACATGTAATAGAGAATAAAATAAATGAATTTGAGATTAATTATTTTAATAAACATAGATTAAGTATGTTATATATATATATTTTGAAATAATTTATTTTATTATAAATATATATTAATATTAAATTTATTTTTTTTAGTTTTTACTTTTGCCTGAGTATTTACTAATAATGTAATAGCTGTTACATATAGAATTTTCAATTTACTTTTTGATCTTATTTTATAATTAACTGGTATATTTTCTCACTTTAAATATATTCATAATAATGGATAGAAATGTACTATTGTTGATTTAGACTAGGCACAAGCAAAAGAACTTGAAATGGTATTAAATAAAATAAACAATATTAAAAATTGCGAAGAATATTTAGTTCATATCTTAAGTACATTATAAAAGATAAAATTTTATTTCTTAGTTAATAAATATTAATTATTAAAATTATGTTTTAATTTTTTTTATTTTATTATAGAAAAATTCATGAAAAAAGATATAATGAAATTATTTCAAAAGATATGCTTACAATTTATCAGCCAATTCTGAAGAATTTATTAATGAATTATTTGATAATATTCTGAAAAATGACGAAAATACTACTGATTAGTATATTTTTTTATAATTAATATTATAATTTTAAAATTAATAAATATTACTTTTTAGATTGGATTACATTTTATTATTAAAAATGGATTATTAATTCTTTAAATAAAACCATGTCCAAAATTAATAATGAAATTTGAATCACAGTACCAAATAATACAAATGTTGTAGAAGCAGCACATGCACAAAGCAATCACAGTGGAAAAATTTAAAATTAGTGACTGCAATTAAACAATATATATTTTATTTATCTATTTATTTATTTTTAATATTCAAATTGAATTAAATATAATTTGTTTTTTTTATAGGAGATATAAATTAGATAAAGAAAGGTTTATTTTAATTAATAATCATAAAAAACACAATATACCAGTTCAAGGAAGAGATAAAGGTCCTATAGTTCAAAATATTTCATCAATCAAATGTCAAGGTAAATTTTTTTTATTAAATAAATTTAAATTATTACAATATACAATTTATTTATTTTTATATTTTTTTAGCAAATAGATGTGCAAAAAAAGTAAATACATCTTATTCTAATGTAAACAAAATGCAAATTCAAATTCCAGCAAGAAAAAATCCAAAATCATTACAATTGAATCTGATATTGATGAAAAAGATCAAACTCAAAGAAATAAATTTTCTATAGAAGAATTGGAATACAGAGAAAAAATCATAACATTAAAAGAGTGCGAACTTGTCATGAGGGAAAAGGAAGCAAAAATACATGAACTTGAATTATCAAATCTTTTAAAAGACAAAAATAATTAATAACAATAATAATAATAATAATTAATAATAACAATAATTAATAAATACAATAATTAATAAATATAATAATTAATAAATATAATAATTAATAATAATAATAGATAGAGAATGAACTTAATCAAATTCGGTACACTCGATTTTTAGGTGGTACACCACTCATCTGGTCGATATTAAAGTTGCACAAATTATTGTGACTATTGATCAGAATACTTCTTTTAGACAGTGACACTTTTCTATATCGAATTAAACATGCCACGGTCTAGAAATATTGCGCCCCGTCTTTTTACCTTTACTGCTTTTCTTATTACTTGACCGTATACATATAGTACCTTCGAGACTTCTGATTTTAAAATGTCCAAATCCACGGTCTATAAATACTGCGCCCGTTCCTTCATCCTTGGCCTCAGTCTCTACTTATTTTACTACTTTTCTTACTACCTTCAGCCCTTAGAAGCGGTAGGTCCACTATTGTATGCCAATACCAAACCCCCTCCGGGCGTGGACCAGAACTTAACGATCTTTATCGGGATTCTGACCATCGATTATAAGATAGAGACTAGGGAGTGCTTGCGCAAGTTGTATGCACACAATAACGACGCTCTGGCGCGATATCTCGGAGTCAAGAAATCGCCCGTGACGATTAGATTTATCTTGGGACTGCCAAAGGATGAATATGTAGATAAGGTGGAGAAAGAGTCTAAAATGTACGGAGATATTGTTATTTTGAATATCACAGAGAATATGAATGAAGGAAAGACGATGGAATATTTCAATTGGTTTGCTAAATATGTGAGTATTCTTATCTTGTTACGAGGCTGCGCACGTCAATGATATTCATTATTTTGAATACGCTTAGAGGAAGGATAATTATATGGTCAAATTGGACGATGACAGTTTCATCCACCTTATTCACTACTACCGTGACCTTCAAGACTTACCGAGAGAACGTGCGTACTATGGCAATGCTCTCAATGCTCAGTGGTCTGAACATAGAATATTTATGGCAGGTATGTTTATTCCCGTTGATCATCAACGCTTCATGCACTTTTCGGTCTACTTTCCTTACACTCGAAATAAGGTTGCGGATACACAATCTCCCGCGACCTCGTTATAGACATTGTTGGATTACACTGGGATCGTTCAGAAGTCGAAGGCGGCGAGGACCAACTAGTGAGTTACTGGATATGTAAAGTGGCTAAGGAGAAGAAGTACCTCGTGCACTATGTCGGCTTCTCAAGTTTTATTCCCAGCCGCGAAAATCCCATCCATGACTTTGACGAGAATGTGGACCTCCACTTCCTTGGCGAGACCATCCTAATCCATCAGCTAAAGACCATCGAGAAGTTGAAGGCCATTAAGAATATGTACTCCGAATATGAAGAGGGATTGTCAAAGGTTAGAGTCATTCGGAATTCAACGGTTCCAGGCCTGAATACAAAGAAGGAAATTTTTCAAGGATGCTGGACCATGGATCAAGCATTGCAGAGTACCTACAAGAACTGGTTCTATGAAGCTTGGGGTTTTAAGGCGCCTGTGGATAAAATAGGGATTACTGGATAGAAATTTTTATGCATTTTATTACATAATTTAATGGAAATGCGTACAGTGAGTACTGAATTTTAATATTTTTACATACTAAAAATGTTACTATATCAAAACGTGTTATTATAAACTTATAACAATAATTCTAGATTTTAATCGACATGTTACATATTCAATTTACAATAACAGTCATTGGAATGTCACACAAACCTTTTTTTGTTAGTAGATAAGTTTATGTAACAAAGCGTGATAAAAGGCCATTAAAAAAAAACTTTCGAGATTGTTACGTTAATTTATATTCTCTAATATTAATAAAATAAAAATATTGTTGAAGAAACCTCGTCCCTTTTTTTACTTTTGTGGCACTGATTGAACTATTAAACATACTTGAACATTTAAAATCACAACCCATATATATCAAATTCGACCCGATTTTTATTCAAGAATAAAGCAATTTAGACATTGATTTTTGTAAAAATCGTGAAATCATGTTTTTTTGTATTAAAAACTCAAATATTTTGATTTTTTTGTATTGAAAACTTAAATAATTTAATTTTTTTTATAATTTACAATAAGTGAATTTAGAATAAAGTTCAAATGAATTCTATTTACCTACCAAAAAAATTTTACTTATAATGTAACACTAAGATAATGAAGAAGTTAATAATATTTATATTATTTATTTATTTATTTTATTTAACACAATAATTCACCAGTTGTATAATCTTTTTGTTCCATTCAGTTCCAAGTAGTTGAAGAGTTTTCATCATAAATATGGTTTGGAATTTTTTCTTTATAAACCAACAATTTTCCAGTATTGTTTTTTCTTGTGGAAGTAATTTTTTTCATTTTTTTGATACCTAATTATCAATTTAAAGGTATATTGACATGATAAATAAAAACAACATAGTAAAATTTTCAATACTTTTCTTTAATTGATTATTGTTAAAGAAAATTTGAAATAACAAAAATTTTTATATTTCATTTGATAATTTACTTGAAAATTTTTGTATTTATAAATAACATCAGGAAATTTTTTTTAGTGAAAACCTTTAAAAGTTAATGTTAACATAAGTATTTTGCTGTTTTTCAATATGTTATCCTTCAAAGGTCTTTTCTAACATTTGAAAGTTATCAATTTTGATATCTTCATATATGAAATTTTACAAATATTATCATTTTCATAATAATTTCATATCAATAACCTTTGTTTATGTTAGATATTCATAATATATCATTTTGATGGTCATCACTTGCATTTATATCGTTGTGATTTTTAATCGACATTACACTGTCAATGATATCTTTTGAAGTTTATCACAACAATTTTAATTGACATTATATTGTTAACAATATCTTTCAAAATTTAACGCAACAATTTTAATCAACATTGCACTGTCAACAATATCTTTCGAAGTTTATCACAGTAATTTTAATCAACATTGCACTGTCAACAATATCCTTTAGAAGTTTATTACAGCAATTTTAATTGATATTGCACTGTTAACAATATCCTTCAAAGTTTATTGTAGCGAAATTGTATTGTTAACAATATTTTTTGAAATTTATCACAACAATTAAGGTTAGTATTTATGTTCACTAAATTTTTTGAAATTTATTACAACAATTAAGGTTAGTATTTATGTTCACTAAACATAATTATATTATTGTTATAATTTTATTAGATATCATATTGATCCAAAGTTTATTAGTATTAATATGTTCCCAAAACTTTTGATAATTTAATATATTATAATTAAAGATTTTCAGAATAACTAGACAGTAATTACAATGAGTTTGAATTAGCATTGTTTAAATATTACAAACATTCACACATAATATTTACAATAAAATTTTCAAAT